TCTTCAGTCTAGAAAGTTGGTTGGAGGGACCCCATAAATGTCTTCCAGGGCGGCTGCGTTTCTCACTAACATGATGGGCTCGTTGAAGGGACAATAGGAGATGTGATTAGTAGAGTCTTTGGGTTGTGGATGAATCTTTGGGATTAGTAGAGTCTTTGGGATTTAGCAAATGCTACCTTGATTTTTTTCAGAGCAGAGAACTTTAAATTGATATGTATAAACTGCCTCAACAAACTTATAGCTGATGAAACTGAGAAAAATCACTGTTCTGACATACTGATTCTATTACAACTTTAAAAAATTAATGACAATTTTGTCATAATCTTCGTATGTGATTCTTTTCCATACAGTAATCAATTTCATTAAACAAATATATGGTTTCATAATTTAAAAATTATTTTAACATTATTTTTTGTGCAGTATGTTTCATGAACCCCATATATAATGGATCCAGATGGATTCCAGTGGGAGTTTGGGGCATTTCCCACTGATATAGCAGGCATTTCTTTCATCAAGGGCCCGGTTGACTGCTGTGACAAGAGGCTGCTAGGAGCCTTGATGAGATTGCTGGCCAATCCCATTACGTTCCCTAGTTCACTAAGGAACTACAGGAGATGAAGCAGTAGAAGAGACTCCTAGAGCATCAGTAGAAGAAGATGAAATAAGAATCTGACTGAACATCTGACAATAAAGGAAGTTAAACATCTTCCCTTCTCCCTTACTGCATCACCAGGCTGTCAACCACCAACCCTGGCAAACTAGCTTTTAAGGAGAAACCAATAAGATCCCTCCCACTGTGTTAACTTGCATAGTATTTTGCTAACAAAGTTATTCCAATTCACCTGAGTCTGGACTGCTCATAGGCAGGCTCCAATGTGATGAGAGGGGCAACTGACTATATTATTTGGGATTCCTTCTGGCCTGTGAACTCCAAGGAAGTGGTTAGGCTGCCCTCTGGTATGACTACCACAACCAGCAGTCCAGAAGGGTATGGTTGATTGGATCTAAGAGACACGTCAACTCTTCTCTTTGGGAAAGAACTTTGCCAGCAGCCTTGAAAGAACCCATGGTATGTCCCCTTTTGAAGAGACCCTCCTTAGATTCAGTCATTCTTAACAACTACCATTTGGTTTCCAACCCGCTCTTTTTGGGAAAGATTGTTGACACAGTGGAAATGGCTCAGCTAAGGAGTACCCTAGATGAAATACAGGTAGTCCTCGAGTTACCATTCTTTCAGCGACCATTTGAAGTTACATGGTGCTGAACAAAGGGACTTATAACTGGTGCTCGAAGTTCCGGCCATTGCAGGGCCCCTGCAGACATGTGAACAAAATTTGGGGGCCTGGCAACCAGCTTATACATACGACCAATTGCAGCATCCCATGGTCACGGAATCATCATCTGCATCCTGCCCTGCTGGCTTCCCCCAAAGTCAAAGGAAAGCTGGCAAGGAAGGTCGCAAGTCGCTGGGGTAAGTCTCCCCCCCCCAGCCTTTCTTCGCTCACACACACCGCGCCCTTCTTCCCTCCTTCACTTGCACACACCCCATGTCCTCTTTCCCCAGCCTCCCTGCACTTGCACACGTGTACACATGCATCCTGCACCCTCCTTCCATGGCTTCCCGGCAATCACACACACACGCACCCTACACCTTCCTTTCCTGGCCTCCCTGCACTTGCACACACACGCCCCACATCCTCTTTCCACAGTCTCCATGTGATTATATACATGCACACATGTATTCTGGGCCCTCTTTTCTTGGCCTCCCTGTGATTGCACACACAAATGCACCCCGCACCCTCTTTCCCTGGCCGCCCTGCAATTACACACACCCTGCATCCTCTTTCCTCAGCCTCCCTACACTTGCACACACGCACTCCCACATCCTCTTTCCACAGTGATTGCACACATGCACACACCCCATGCCCTTTTTCTTTGGCCTTCCTGCAATCGCACACTTGTACACATGCACCCCATGCCCTCATTCCCTGGTTCTTTCTGAGCTCATGCTGCACCGAGCACCTCCTTCCCCGATTTGTGTACAGCCTGCCCTGGGCCTCCCAGGGCCTCCCCCACCCCATGCAGCATCCCCACACTCCTTACATGGGACTCCCTCTGCTTCCCCCTTAATGACCCATGCATCTTGGGTTATAAGCAGTCGGGACTGCTTATATTACCATCACTAAGCGATGCAGTCACGTGATGTTGCATTTCCGGACCACATCACTTACCAACAGCAATCTCTGCCCTAATTGCAGTCGTAACTTGAGGGCTACCTGTACAGACCTTTTTTCAGTCAGGTTTTAGACTGAATTGAGATGGCCCTGATAGTGGATGACATTTGTTGGGGCTTGGCCAGAGGGAGTGCAACCCTCCTCATCCTTTTAGACCTCTCAGCAACCTTCAATGCCATCAGTTGTGGTATCTGTCTGGATGGTCTACAAAGGTTGGGGATTGAGGGCACTGTCTTGGCATGGTTCTGCTCCTTCCCCCATGACCACCAGCAAACAGTTCCAGCTGGTGGTCATGGGGATGGAGAAGTCACCCTTTTGGTCATTCACTCGAGGAGTGCCATAGAGACTGGTCCTTTCTTCCCTACTCTTTAACATTTACATGAAGCCACTAAGAGAGGTCATTCAACAGTTCTGGGTGCAATATCATCAATATGTTGATGATACCCAGCTTTATATAGCCACCCTGAGCTGGACTGGAGATGATGTGAAGGTCTTTTCCCAGTGTCTGGAGGCTGTAAGTATCTGGATGGGGCAGAACAACCTGAAGTTAAATCCTAGTAAGACCGAATTACTATTTATATTTAATGGGGGCATCTTATGCATCCAGTGTTGTTTCTTAACAGAAAAGTCCTACCTCTGAAAGAGCTGATGTGAGACTTTGAGAGCTGATATGTGACTTTGGGATCCTCCTAATAAACAGCTCCTAATCAAGCAGCAGGTGGAAGCCATGGTCAGGAGGTCTGGCAGTTACAGTTTTACTTAGGGCAGGGGAACCTAACTGCAGTGATTCATGCCCTTATCACCACAAAACTGGACTTCTGCAATACATTCTATATACAGCTACATTTGGCCCAAATGAAGTGGGCCAGCTTCTGAACAGCACCTGTACAGTGAGGAGCAGCTGGCCCTTTAAATAACAAACCAGACTTAAGTGCCCAGAAGTAGGTGCCTGATCCCTAAGAATTAGTAAAGGAAAAGAAGGGGGTTCCGTCAGGTTTTGGGAAGGAAGAGTTTTTGGATTTTTTGGAAGTGGCTGGCATCCTAGATGAGAAGGGTTACTTCATGCAAGGCTGGCAAATGAGAGTTGTTCTATTACAGGCTAGAATCGCATTAGGGTGTTTGTATTTGACTCTTTTTATTGAGTAAATAGAACCTTATCTTCTTTGTTACCTTTAATAAAGTTGATTTTTTGAATCCTGGAGCTGACTGATTGCCTTCTATCTTGGCTGAGCTATCATCTCCCAAAACTTGTGTTTGATTTCCCTTCCTATAGTTTAGCCAGACCGAGAGTGGAATGAAGATTTCCCCTTCAATCATCTCCTGGTTCCCTCAAAGGTCTGGTAGGGAAGTGAGAAATTGGCCTGTAACAAATGGGTGGCGGTAGCAGTAAGGATACCTAATTTTCCAGTCACTGTTTACCTGTAGATGCAGGTTATCTCAGAACTGAAGAATCTCAGAGGAAGGGGCTAGTTCTACCCTGGCACACCTTATTACAACCTGCCATTAGCAATATATGATATCTGTACTTCAGGCCTTACACTGGCTCCTGATTAGTTTCCAGGCACAATTTAAAGTGCTGTTTCAACGTAAAAAGCACTTCATAGCTTGGCACCTAAGTATTTCCAGAACAGCATTTTCCAGCCTTCTTGGGAAAAACTGCTACTGCTACTCCATTACCAAGAAGTTTGGGGACTGTTACCAGGAAGCAATGCTTTTCTATTGTAGTGCCAAATCTATGGACCAGCTTCCCCATAAGGCTCACCCCCTCTCACAAAATTCAGGAAACAACTAAACAAAGCTGTTCAATAGGGCTCTTCCTTAGTGTATTGATGCCGTCAGTTTTGTTATTGTTACTGTTTAATTTTTAAATTTTTAAAAATATTTTACACATACCATGGATGTTCTAATGCTATATTTGTTTGAATCCTGTTCCTGTAGATGTTTTACTGTTCCTTATGGTGGATGTTTTATGTTTTTGCTGTAAACCGCCATGAGCCAATTTATTAAAATTGGCAGTATATAAGTCAAATAAGTATGCCACAATATTTAGCAGTCGTACTTAATTGACTTTGGCTGATCTTGACAAAGTCAAACAATGTCAGTTATGCTTAGATGTAAGCACATCAAGAAGTCTTAGTTGTAAACCAGACTGGAAAGTTAAAAAAAATATATCCTGGAAACCATTCCCATAGTGCTGCAAAGAAAACAACAAGGACATATCCTTGTAGACACCCAAAGTTGAAGGAGACTTCAATTATATTGTTCATGTACTCTAATTATTGAGTTCAAATATTTTAAACTATGTCAATAATATAATATTGTAAAAACAATAAATACCTTTGCTGTGAAAAAGCAAGAACAAGCTATCATGTGCTGAATACTGTCAAAGCATTCTGTTGATTTTCTCTGCAATATAATAGTCGGGATTTCTTGAAGAACAGTGAGACACTTAATAATGATCTGAAAATACAATAACAAATGTTTACCATTACAGAGCACTACTTGTATGAATAACTAAAAATGAATCCTTGTGCTGTAATTAAATGTAAGGATTTTAAACTATTACAGCTCATTTTTAATTAAAAAATAAAGTTACGTAACTCGTGTTGTCTTAATTTCCTGTTAAATGTTTCAAAGTCTAAAATACCTGTTAGTGTGCTTCAGTACAGATTATTATTCTCTGAAAATCTTGCACATTCTGCTATGGCCTGTAAAGGGACTCACTTTATCAAATATTTATGCATCATTCTTTGAATCAATATGGTCCCAAATCAAATCAGTCCCAGGACTTCAATACAGTCTTACAACAGTCTTTATGATTCATAGAATCTAATTCCATTTTTGTAGCTTCCCAGCCCCAGTTTTGCAGCTCTGGGGCTCCCTGCCATAGGACTATACTATCAAAGATGGACAAAGAAATGCCAAGTTGCAATGGTGTAATTTATTAATATTTCCTTTCTTTTCTGTTTGTTTCATACCTTGTCTCTATACTTCAGTATAATTTCTTTACAATCCAAGCAGTAAAATAAAAATGTGAACTCAAACCTATTTTTTGTGACTCCCTCCAAGTTCTTAAAATAAAAAAACTAGTCTTTCCCACTGTTAGAAGTAGCCACAGGAAAAACAAAAAATCCACCCCTACCATAAATGTTTTAATCATACCAACGCCCCA